ACTGACTGGCTCCAAAATAATAATCAATACGTAGAACTGGATAGATGGTCCATCTCACAAATTCCAGAATGATGACCCTACACAGAGCTTGATGGGATGTCCGTCTCACTGATTCTAGAATGATGACCCCCCCCACATAGAGTTTCATGGGTTGTCAAGTCACAGATTCCAAAGTGATGACCCCCACATAGAGCTTGAAGGGTAGGCCATTCACTGACTGCAGAATAATGACCCCCACAGAGAGGTAGAGATTGATAGTCTAGAATATCTCAATATCTTAGATAATTGATAGCTGGTTCTCAATTTGCTGATACAGACTTTGTTCCTGAGATTAATTCCACTGGCCAGGCACACTTTGATAGCTTTGTTTGAGACTGATAATACATCCTTGCTTACTGTATATAGTACATTTCATCTGAAAGCAATCCAGAGTGTTTTACATATAGGAAGAGACCCGCTGCATCCACCACTGATGAGCAGCCCTGCTACAAAGCATGTCAGGTGTAAGAGTGAGAATTTGCTTCATCAATTAAGGTAAGGGGGAACTTTAAAAAGGCCAGGTTGTAGAGGCCTAGAGTGGGTTTTAACCAGGATAACATAACGAGTCTTCTGAACAGTGCCAACAGTCAGGCCCTGAATTTAATGTCTCCTCCTACGAATGGTGCCACCATACTGTTTTGGACATTCTGATTGAGAAGACATTGTGCCACCTACAGACTACTTAGACAGTTTAGATATGAAAAATAAGAAAAGTTACAGAAAGGTTTTACTTTGACCACTTTTGGCATTAAGTTTGTGTTAAGAAGAAGAATTGATAAAACTGACAAAATGTATGTGCAAAAAAATAATATGCTAATAGTGTTGTTAAAAGGCAGGAGTTCTTTTAGTAGTGAGGGAGTGTTGAACATGTTGAGGAACAGCAGTGAGGGAGTGTTCAGCATATTGAGGAACAGCAGTGAGGGAGTGTTCAGCATGTCGAGGAACAGCAGTGAGGGAGTGTTCAGCATGTCGAGGAACAGCAGTGAGGGAGTGTTGAGCTTGTGGAAGAACAGCAGTGAGGGAGTGTCCAGCATATTGAGGAACAGCAGCGAGGGAGTGTTCAGCATGTAGAGGAACAGAAGTGAGGGAATGTTCAGCATATTGAGGAACAGCAGTGAGGGAGTGTTCAGCATGTTGAGGAACAGCAGTGAGAGAGTGTTCAGCATGTTGAGGAACAGCAGTGAGAGAGTGTTCAGCATGTTGAGGAACAGCAGTGAGGGAGTGTTAAACACTTTGAGGAGCAGCGGTGAGGAAGTGTTAAACATGTTGAGGAGCAGCAGTGAGGGAGTGTTCAGCATGTAGAGGAACAGAAGTGAGGGAGTGTTCAGCTTGTAGAGGAACAGCAGTGAGGGAGTGTTACACATGTTGAGGAACAGCAGGGTTGGAGTGTTCAGCATGTTGAGGAACAGCGATGAGGAAGTGTTAAACATGTTGAGGAACACTAGTGAGGGAGTGCTGAGCTTGTGGAAGAACAGCAGTGAGGGAGTGTCCAGCATATTGAGGAACAGCAGTGAGGGAGTGCTCAGCATGTAGAGGAACAAAAGTGAGGGAGTGTTCAGCATGATGAGGAACAGCGATGAGGAAGTGTTAAGCTTGTAGAAGAACAGCAGTGAGGGAGTTTTGAGCATGTTGAGGAGCAGCAGTGAGGGAGTGTTCAGCATGTTGAGCAGCAGTGAGGGAGTGCTCAGCATGTTGAGGAGCAGCAGTGAGGGAGTGTTCAACATGTTGAGGAGCAGCAGTGAGGAAGTGTTCAGCATGTTGAGGAGCAGCAGTGAGGGAGTGTTAAACATGTTAAGGAGCAGAAGTGAGGGAGTGTTCAGCATGTTGAGGAGCAGCAGTGAGGGAGTGTTCAGCATGTTGAGGAGCAGCAGTGAGGGAGTGTTCAGCATGTTGAGGAGCAGCAGTGAGGGAGTGTTAAACATGTTGAGGAGCAGCAGTGAGGGAGTGTT